CAGAGAAAAGAGAGCAAAACAAAATAAAGGGACAGATTCTTTCTAGTGGGTACTTATGCTTTTTGCTTCTCTGGACTGGGTTATGAATGTACTGTGCAGAAATGAGCTCCCCCCCTTTAGGATGTCAACCTCCTCCATCAAACCAATGAGGTGACCCCATCTCTGCTCAGGCATAGCTGATATTTAGCTGAGGTCAGGCTCCACCCTGTCTTTCCTGTCTGTGCAGCTCCCACTTTTGCACCTGAGGTTGCAAGCATTTCCACTGGAGACAGAAGCACACCTGTGTCTCTAGTACAGGCCTTTGCCTGCCTGTCAGGACTAGCAGCTGGACTATTCCTTGCTTGTTTGCTCAGGGACCCTCCTAAGGTGATGCCTCTGTGGCCGGCTCCCACTATCCTGCCACCATGTAACCCTGAGCAGGTGTCCTGGTCATAAGAGATGGTTATTGGACTCTAGATTGAGCATGCTGTGGCTTATGACCACATAGCTAAGAGAAGACCCTGCTAGAGGCTTCCAGCCTCGAGTATTTGAAGATTTGGAAACTTACTGCACACCCGCTGTGTGCTGGAAACTCCATGCCCAGGTCCCAGATAGGAAGACAGTGTCAGAATGCTGAGGAGCTTCTAAGGACCAAGAGTGTATCTTTCTGTTCTATCCTGCTGCCTTCAGGAAATGCGAGGACAGTAGAGTGGGTGCAGATGACCTGGGAAAAGAACCAAAACCATGAGAACAAGCCACAGAAAGGAATGTTTTGCTTTTCCTGAGTTACCGGAGTTTGGTCACAGGCCTTGCATGCTCAAGCAACTACTAATGAGCTACATCCTCTGCCCTGACAGGAATGTTTTTAAGGGAAGACCCAAGATGCTAAAGTCCAAGCCCCTCCTTGCTTAACCTTATCCACAGTCTAATGCTTGGAATAAATACAGGCTCTGCTAGGGGTATGGGAAGCATGTGTGCTTAACATGCTGGAGGCCATGGGTTGCACTCCCAGCACCAAACCCCTCCAAAATAACATCAAATCCAAATAAAATGTGGAGTTCAGTTAATAGTGGCATGTTGGTGTCTGTTTCCTCTTTGCAACAAATCTAACATCACAAATTGCAGAATAATAGTAGAGAGATAGTGTGGTGCTGGTGGTACACACTTGGGAGGCAGAGGCAGGTGAATCTCTGTGATTTAGAGGACAGCATGGTCTTCCAGGACAGCCAAGGCAACACAATGAAACCCTGTCTTGAAAAATACAAAACAAAAATACACACACATATACACACGTACATATAAATGTGTGTGGTGTGTGTGTGTATATATATATGCATATATATATATATTCATGAGACATTCAAGGGCCATTGTCCTATCTTTGAAATGTATCTGGTAAAATACAGATATTCCAATATTAAAGGTTTATTTTAATTGTGGGGAAGAGAGATAGACAAATATCTCTATCCACAGCCAGAAGCTAATTGAGAAATTAAATGGTATCAATGAATAGCAAGTGGTTAGGTCCCATATCATTTATGAGTACAGTGATTCATTTAGCAAAACAAAGGAAAAAGAGAGGCTAGGAGTGTTTTGTGGAATTTAAAAGGAAATGGGAGATCTAGTTCTATAAACATGAAAATCTTTTAAATTCATCATTGATTGAAGAAAACAACTGGTTTGGACTTAGTGTGTACCATGGTAAGATTTGTGAGTGATACTAAACCAGGAAGGAAGGAATTGACTCTAATTGTTCATGCCTAGAAACCAGTCTGTTTATTTTTGGTTTTCCAGAATGATGTTGTGTGTTAAGTTTCATCCTTTGCTTTGTTTTGTGTTTGAGACAAAAATCTCAATACTGACTGGCCTGGAACTCAAAAGACATCTGTCCACTTCTGCTTCCTGAGTGCATGTCTGGCTGTTTGCTTGTTTGTTTGAGACAGAGTCTCACTGTGTAGCTCTGCCTGTCCTGAAACTCAAAATGTTGATCAGCTGACCTCAAATCTACAGAGAACTACCTGCCTCTGACTCCTGAGTGCTGGAATTTAAGGCATCGGCCACCATACCTGGTTTTTTTTTTTTTTTTTTTTTTTTTTTTTTTTTTTTGAGTCAGGGTCCAGTTATGGTTTTTTTTTTTTTTGAGTCAGGGTCCAGTAGCCCTGGCTTTCCTATACTGGGTTTAAAGGTGTGCACTAGCACACCTAGCATGACTTCACTTTAAAAATGTTAAGATTGCTGGCACCTAGTGGCTCACTCCTGTACTAGAAGAGGCTGAGGAAGAGGATTGCCTCATTCAAAGCTGGGCCAAGCAGTGGTGGCACCTTTAATCTGGCACTTGGGAGGCAGAGGCAGGTGGGTCTCAGTGAGTTTGAGGGTAACCTGCTCTACAGAGTAAGTTCCAGGACAGTCAGGGTAGTTACACAGAGAAGCCCTGCCTTGAAAAACCAATTAAAAAAAAATTTAAGTCCAAACTGGACCACAGTTTCTTTGAGATTTGTGGCATTGAGGTTGGAATGTGAAATGAACCTTAAAAGAATAAGTGTTAAAAAGAATTAAAAAGCAGAGAAAGTGAGTGCAACAGATAGCCCTCCTCCATAGGGCTTCCCTCCCCTCCCCCTGGCCTAACAGCCTAACGGATCAGGGTTAGGACAGCGCATGCGGAGGAAATAGAGGCTCCCTGGCCATCTAAATAAGGACCGGTTTTGGTTTTGTTTGTTTGTTTTCATTTTTTAATTGAGCTATACATTTTCCCCCAGTCCCTGTTTCCCCACCCTTCCACCCTCCTCCTGTCCCCTCATGCTCCCAGTTTACTCAGGAGATCTTGTCTTTTTCCCCTTCCTAGGTGGATCCATGTCTCTCTTAGGGTCCTCTTTGTTGCCTAAGTTCTCTGGGATTGTAGTCTGGTTGTCCTTTGCTTTATGTCTGATACCCACTTATGAGTGAGTGCAAATTATATCTGTCTGGGTCTGGGTTACCTTACTCAGGATGGCTTTTTCTAGTTGCATCCAGGGCCTGTCTTCTGTGACCTCTAACTCCTGAAGGAGGGAGTGGACCTCAGAATGTCTCGAATAGTAGCCTAAACAATAAAAAGGATTAGTTGCTCTGCCTTAGGGTCTCTGTGATCTTACGTCCATTTTTTTTTTTTTTAAGCTGTAAATATGTACTTTTGTTTGTTTTTAGACAGGATTTCTCTGTGTAACAATTCTAGCTGTCCTGGAACTTGCTCTGTTGCTCTGTATACCAGGTTGGTCTCGAACTCTCAGAAATCTGCCTGGCACTGCCACAAAGAGTACTGTGATTAAAGGCATGTGTGCCACCACTGCCTGGCCTGTATTATTTTTTTAATCCATATAGGAATCAAGTATGAAAAACACTCATGACTTTTTTTGTTTAATTTAAACCAGTGGTTCTCAACCTTCCTAATGTTTGACCCTTTAATACAGTTCCTCATGTTGTGGTGACCCCCCCAACCACACAATTACTTTTGTTACTACTTCGTTACGGTAATTTTGATACTGATATGAATTGTAATGTAAATATGTGTTTTCCAATGGTGTTAGATGACCTTTGTGAAGTGGGTTGTGACCCACAGGTTGAGAATCTCTTATTTAAACAATACTAACTAAGTTAGGAGAGCCCTTGTGATATTTTGTTTATGATCTAACATATAAATCTTGCTTGAAGATCAGAACGCAGAGCTAAGCCACTAGTCAGCCATAAAGGTCGGGCAGCAGTGGCCACACTTTTAACCCCAGCACTTGGGAGTCAGAGGTAGATGGATCTCTGAGTTCAAGGCCACAGGAGAGTGAATTGATCTAATCACACCTTTAATTCCAGCATTTGGGATGACACTCCTTTAATCCCAGCACTGGAGTGCTGTCTTAGTGCAATCTGAGGTTTGGTGGAGAGCATGCAGTCTGTAGTCACACTGAGGGCAGGATCACCCCCTTCAGTCTTAGTGTTGGTAGAGGTAAGAACTCTCTAGTGGCTTGGTTGCTTTGTTTTTCTGATCTTCAGCTTGAACCCCCATATCTTTCTCTAAGTTGTTATGCGTGCTACAAGCCCTCTCATAATTTATTATATAGAAATTTGGGGTTAAGTCCCTGAAATCTAGGATAGGAAACAACAGAACAAGAAAATTTAAAAGAATTCAGCAGGCGATTGAGTTGGGTTGTTTCTACTTCTGTTAACCTCTGTTACCATGAGTGAGAGGCTTAAAGCTAAAATAAAGCAGAACATTAAAGAAAATAAACCATCTTGGAGGCCTGGTATTGCCTCCTTAGTATAAACAAACACATAAACAAATAAATAAGGATTGCCAGGTGGTGGTGGTGTGACCTTATTTCTTACCTTGATGAGGTGGTCCTCACTTCTCAAAATGAAATTCCCTAAACTCCTAGTCTGTCAGCATTTTTCTGTGAAAATGTCCTGAAAGGGTTTGTTGGTTCCTGCATACACTCTCTCTCACACACACCAAAGAATAAAAATAAAAAGAGAAGGAAAAAATATAAAAGTAACAGTAGCCTAGGGCAGTGTGTCAACAAGCCCTTGAGTAGCTGGGCAGCTGCTCCATACCCACCCTTTCCCCTTGGAGCCTGCCACCCTCTAGGACAGCATTTTCCCCCTGGCTGCATTTTGCTCCAGGAGCCAAGCCTAGCCTTGGTGAGAGGAGCCATCTATAGAGAAATGTGATAGGGTCTTGGTAAAGACAGTCAACTTTGTGTGTATGTTTCTGTGTGACAGGGTTTCTCTACATAGCCCTGGCTGTCCTGAAACTTACTATGTAGACCAGGCTGGCCTCCAGCCCACAGAGATCTACCTGCCTCTGCTTCCCAAGTATTGAGATTAAAGGTGTGGTCACCACGCCTGGGTCAAGGAACTTTTGAGGTTAGAAGGTGAAGTGACAGTGCAAGGGCAGGGCATTCTCACAGGTGACTGCAGCTAGGACTCCTCTTCAAGTTTCCTTCCTAGGACAAGAGCCTCGGGCTGCCCTGACTTGTTGCTCTTTCCCGTTTCTGCAGGATGAAGATGAGACGCTACAAGCTCTTTCTCATGTTCTGTATGGCTGGCCTGTGCCTCATCTCTTTCCTGCACTTCTTTAAGACCTTATCCTATGTCACCTTCCCCAGAGAACTGGCCTCCCTCAGTCCTAACCTTGTATCCAGCTTCTTCTGGAACAATGCCCCTGTCACTCCCCAGGCCAGTCCAGAGCCAGTTGGCTCCGACCTGTTGCGCACCCCACTCTACTCCCACTCTCCCTTGCTCCAGCCCTTGTCCCCCAGCAAAGCCACTGAGGAATTGCACCGGATGGACTTTGTATTATCTGAAGACACCACCGAGTACTTTGTGCGCACCAAAGCCGGTGGTGTTTGCTTCAAACCAGGTACCAAAATGCTGGAGAAACCTTCAGGGCGCAGAGAAGAGAAGCCGGAAGTGGCTGAGGGCTCCTCAGCCCGGGGCCCTGCTCGGAGGCCCATGCGGCACGTATTGAGTACACCAGAGCGCCTGGGTAGCCGGGGTACTAGGCGCAAGTGGGTTGAGTGTGTATGCTTGCCCGGCTGGCACGGACCCAGCTGCGGGGTGCCCACCGTGGTGCAGTATTCCAACCTGCCCACCAAGGAGCGCCTGGTGCCCAGGGAGGTACCGAGGCGGGTTATCAATGCCATCAACATCAACCATGAGTTTGACCTGCTGGACGTGCGTTTCCACGAGCTGGGTGATGTGGTGGATGCTTTCGTGGTGTGCGAGTCAAACTTCACCGCCTATGGGGAGCCACGGCCTCTCAAATTCCGAGAGATGCTGACCAATGGCACCTTCGAGTACATCCGCCACAAGGTGCTCTATGTCTTCCTGGACCACTTCCCACCTGGTGGTCGGCAGGATGGCTGGATTGCAGACGACTACTTGCGCACCTTCCTCACCCAGGATGGTGTCTCCCGCCTACGCAACCTGCGGCCTGATGATGTCTTCATCATTGATGATGCAGACGAGATCCCTGCGCGTGATGGTGTGCTGTTTCTCAAGCTCTATGATGGCTGGACGGAGCCCTTTGCCTTCCATATGCGCAAGTCCCTGTACGGTTTCTTCTGGAAGCAACCGGGCACACTGGAGGTAGTGTCGGGCTGCACCGTGGACATGTTGCAGGCTGTGTATGGACTGGATGGCATCCGCCTACGCCGTCGCCAATACTACACCATGCCCAACTTTCGACAGTATGAGAACCGCACAGGCCACATCCTAGTACAGTGGTCCCTTGGCAGCCCCCTGCACTTTGCGGGCTGGCATTGCTCCTGGTGCTTCACACCCGAGGGCATCTACTTCAAGCTTGTGTCGGCTCAGAATGGCGACTTCCCACGCTGGGGTGACTATGAGGACAAGAGAGACCTCAATTACATCCGCAGCTTGATTCGCACTGGGGGCTGGTTTGACGGCACGCAGCAGGAGTACCCTCCTGCAGACCCCAGTGAGCACATGTATGCGCCCAAATACCTGCTCAAGAACTATAACCAATTCCGCTACCTGTTGGACAACCCCTACCGGGAGCCAAAGAGCACTGCGGAGGGTGGTCCCCGGACCCTGGGCTCTGAGGGAAGGTCACCTTCTGCCAGGGGCAGGTTAGATACAGTGGAGGGCTAAGTAAGGCTGGGCAGGCTGGGGTGATGGACACCCCAGTGTTATCTTTGGCCTCCTTGCGTCCCTGGAGGCTCCTGAGAGAGCCAGGAGTCCTTGTAAGTGGTTCTCTCTGCTCAAGCCCTCTGGAATTAAGGGTTAGGCCTTTTAGCCCAAAACAGAAAAGAAAAAGTAATCTTTTCCAGTAGAGAAGAGCAAGCCCAGACATCCGTGCAGCATTTTGTCTGTGTTCTGTGGGCAAGAGGTGTCCTTGGAGAGCATAAGGTAGTTTTCTGTGATTGTGAGGGCTGTGGAATTTCAGTCTAGTTGGGAGAAGCCGGCTTTTGACTTTCTGAATTATTGACCTACAATGGAAAAGGGGGTATGCCATGCCAGGAGTTCCCAGAATACTGTAAATAAATGCATTTGGATCCAGAAACAAGAAGAGCAGCTTAGTAGGAAGGGACCAAAAAAAAAAAAAAAGTATCTACTATCTACTCTTGATCTTGGCCAAAAAGCTAGGGAAGCAATGGAAATGGCACCCAGGAGAAAGAACTTTGGAGCTTCCTCAGAGATACTGGACCTAAGGAATGAGGTCACTATTGGCTAGGAAGGTGGAGCCAGGGGCTGTCAGGGTCAGAGCCATGCCTCTGTAAGCAGGCATGCCGGGGCCTGAGGAACTTCCCTCTGGGTTTCTAATCTAGCCTTGATGGCTTCTTCACTTTTCCTATTGCTATTTCATGGGATGCCAGCTCAGCTACTTGCAAAGGATTCTAGGAGTCCAGTTCTCAGGGTGAGACAGGAGCTGGAGACTGTGGACAGCCAGTGTAGTATGTGGGACAGGGAAGGGATGCTAACATAAAGCCTCTATGTCTCTCCCCATCTCTGCTGGCATCTGTTCCCATTCTACCACCATCCGAGGTGTAATCTTTCCTGTCCTCCTCTCCCCACCCTGCTAAGGACAGGATAGGGCCAGGAAAGGGCCACAAGGTTTTCTGGGATCCAAGAAAGGACTTCAAAGGTCAGTGATATGTCAACCCATTTCTTTTCATTTGCCTTGTGGGGACACAGGATGTATTTGTTGATGATTCTGAGATGTAAAAGCCCCTCAGCAAACAGCAGTCAAGTAAGACCAGCTTGTTTCTAATTAAGTAGTCTAGGGGCAGATGGTCCAGAGCCTGTAAGACAAGTGTTCTTAGCCTCACACACAGCTTCCAGGTCTGGATAGAGTGGTTGTACCCACTCACATGGTAAGATAAGGAAGTATGAACTCTTTCCTATGAAGGGCAGGAGTCAGGTATGTTGCTTCTGGTAGTATCTTACTGGTCAGGACTTAGCTGCATGGCTACAAGTAGTTGCAAGGATAACTGGGAAATATAGTTTTGAGCAGGGCTGCTATGTGCCTGCCTCAGTTTGAAAGTTCTGTATTAGCAGCAGCATCTTTGTGGGAGGGGTGCAAGTGTTTGCTCAACATGGGACTCTGCTCTCTCCCTGCCTGCCCCATGGTTGAGGTACAGTACGGACTTACAGGCATATGGAAAGAGTGGGGGCCTCTCCCTGAGGTCCCTGATATTCCCTTGATGCAATACACAGGACTATCTGTGGAATGGTCCATGTTTGTGCGTGTGTGTATATTTATGGGATGGGTGCATGCTTGGTGTGTATTGTACATGTCTGTATCCATGTGACCCTGTACTAAGATGATGTGTGTGTAGGAGCATAGGCTTGGCTGTTCTCTTTCTAGGACCTGGAGCCTGTAGTCTTGTCTCCTGTGGCTCCTCAAGATGCCTGAGGCAGGAAGTTCTTGGGGGACCTTGAAAGCAAGGCTAAAAGGAATACAGGGTCTGTCTGTCAGTCTGTCTGTCTGTCTGTTTTTTCAGACTGAGGAATGGAATCTTGCTAGCTAGAGGGCTATGCTGCTGAGAGCCCAGTGCTCCCTCAGCCTCTCTTGTCCACCACATCTTCTCACTGATACCCTAGCACCTTCTGGATAGTCTCACTGGAGGCTTCCTGAGAGGCTTTCCTTCAAGGCAGCTCCGTCTGGAGCAAGTTATAAGGCAGTGGGCATGGTGTGGGGGCAGCTCTGGCGAGCAGGCAGGAAGCAGGCAGGAAGCAGGCAGGAAGCAGGCAGAGGGGCTCCATGGCTCCTTTCCTCCCATTGAGGGACACCCCCATGCAAGATATCTCCTCTTCAAAGAGCTTTCCTCCTTGGTTCCTCTTGAGACTGAGAGATAGCCCCAGAAGTCAGGGTGTCCCAGACTTAGGGGTCCATCTGTGCCAGGGCACTCTTCTGAGATACCCATGGGTGTCCCTGTGTGATGCCTCCCCCTCAAATGGAAACTTCACTCCACAGCTCCAGTAACTTCAGCTGATTCGTAGACACCCCCATTTCAGGTATTTTCAGGGCTCCTGCCCACAGGTGACCAGTTCAGTGACACTGGGAAAGCACAGATCTGCTGGGCTGGCCTCTCTCAGACCAGTAGGGGGAAAATAATACAACAGTTTCAACCAGGCAGGAAGAGGCCTGGTCATGGGCTGAGAGAGACTACCTGTAAGAGGTGAGGGCTAAAGCCTTTCACATCTAACCACAGCATACACTGGGAATTTTAGGGGCATGGGACCCAGGATCATACCCCCAATATGAAGGGAAACTGAGTTAAATGTGGGCACATTCTCCAGGAACTACAGGCCTGTGGCCTCTAGACCCAAGGAGGCCTGTTCATTCCAGGCATCCTGCTGACTTTGTTCACCCAGAGGTCACAGTAGTTATAGGGGCAGGTATGATGAAGCTTTGGAGGCAAAGGTGAGATTCAGGATGAGAAGACAGGACTCATCCAAGCAGAAGGTAGGGCCCTGGGAAATGTGTAATTTAAGGGCACCAATAATAATAATAATAATAATATTTTTTTTGTAAAGGAAAATCAATATGTACATTTTGAAATCATTTTCTCTGTAAATGGTTGAATTTCATTTCACCCTTAAAGGGATGCTTAAAGGAGAAGATAATATTAATAATAAAAACAGCTGCGAAGTCTGGAGGGTAATGTGTGTATGGCCAGTTTGTGGGTACTCCAGGACAGAGATGGGTGTGAGCAGACAGCTCTGGTCTTGATGTCAAGTCAGAACCTGTGGGGCATGAGGCTCTCACAAGGACTGGATATGTGGGGATAAGGAAACTATCCAGTTCCTACACTTAGAGATGTGGTCATCCCTAACTTAGGCTTGTGTGTCCTACCTGTGTATGGAATTATGGATACTAGCCCTCTGTTCAGTGGGAGGAAGAAGGAAGCTTGTATTCTAAAACTGGGGCACCTTCTTCTGGGGTCAGGAGGATCCTATCAGGACCTGGGTAAGGGCATTGGTGGTTACTCCCACAGTTCTGCTTGGAGCATCAGTACTTTTGGGTACCCCTCACTCCCGTTGTCTATCGGGTTCTAAATGCCTCAGCCATGATCACATGGATGCTTAAGTTCTGGACCTGGGGGATAGCCATCTCTGTTTTTGGGTGCTACAACAGTTCCTGTGGCCTTGGAGCACAAAGCTTCTTGTCCCTAGCTAGGTCCTAAGGAAAGTCTCAGAGATGGTGGATCAGACCCTTAAGTCCTTTGTGGGGCAACTGTGTAAACGCCACATCAGACTAAAGTTCCAGAAGCCAGAGAATGACAGCAATGCTGGTGGTGTTATCTGAGACCAGAACTGACCAGAGTGTGGCCTCTGGCCCACACTCCCAAATGTCCAAAAGGAGCTTTGTAGGTGCCTGGGGTAGGGTGGAAAGTGAATTTTGTAGAATCCAATAAATGAAGATGAAGACACCCTAGTCTGACCAGAAGAGGGCGACAGCAATCCACTCGCCTTTAAGTTTTACAATCCTAGCTTGTATCATCAATATTTACAAATAGTACATATATTTGCAGGCATTAATTTCTTAAATAAGTAAACATTTTCAGCCAAATTCTAGACTGAAAAATGAGCTCCATTGTGCTTATTTGATGAAAGTGTAACGTGAAGCATAGACATCCCATCTGTGCCTCAGACATCAGTGAGGCCATGGCAAATTCAAGTTCACCTGTGGTCAGAGGCTGACCACATCAGTAGGTTGAGGAGGAAGACCGGAAGAGTCAAAGGAGAGGATAGGGTGTTCTTTGATTGTTCTAAACATGAGGCATACAGTGCTTTAGTGCAGAAAGAGAAATGATATCTGTAAACCTTCATCCAAAGGGGACAGCTGAGAGCCACATTGGTAACAACTGTCAGATTTACAATTAAAACCCCACTATCAACCAGGGTAGCAGTAGTGCATGCCTTTAAAACCAGCGCTTGGGAGGCAGAGGCAGGCAGATATCTTTGAGTTTGAGGCCAGCCTGGTCCACAGAGCTAGTCAAGATAGGCTCCAAAGCTACAGAGAAACTGTCTTGGAAAAAAAAAAAAACAAATGAACAACAACAAAAACCACCCCTGTCAAGGAACTGAGAGGTGGCTTATTTATAAACAAGTATTGTTCTTTCGGGGGACCCAAGTTTGGTTCCCAGCATCCACATCCAGTGATTGTGACCAGCTCTGTGGGATCCAAGGCTACTGGCTTCCTAAGGTATTCATGCATGTGCATAAACCCCTACACAGACACACATATACATAATTAAGCATAAAAATAATAAATTCTGGGGCTGGAGAGATAGCTCAGGGATTAAGGACTCCTTCTGTTTGTGATAATGAACCAGGGTTTGGTTCCAGTACCCATATCAGGCACCTCACAAACACTTGCAAATCCAGCTCCAGGGGATCTCATACCCACTTCTGGTCTGTAGATATACAGAAGCACACCCCCACACACACATAAAGAAAAGTAAGATTTTTGTTTTGTTTTGAGACAGGATCTTACTTTTTAGTCCAGGCTGTCCTGGATCTCTTTGTAGAATAGGTTGGCCTTCAACTCACAGAGATCCACCTGCCTCTGTCTCCCAAGTGCTAGAATCAAAGATGTCCACCACCATACCAGGATAAAAAAAAATCTTAAACAGCAAGCTTGACAGTGATGATGCATGCCTTTAATCCCAGCACTTGGGAGGCAGAGGCTTGCAGATCTCTTGTGAGTTTCAGGACAGGCTCCAAAGCTACACGGAGAAACCCTGCCTTGAAAAACCAACCAACTAAACAAACAAACAAACAACAAAATAAGCCACTTTTAGCCAGGTCTGAGTTCAAAGCAGCAGAAACCTGAGACCTTGAAAGCCTGTCATCCCCAGAGCTCTCCAGGAGCCTCTCCCTGCTACTACAAATGTATAATCAAAGCACAAGTTGGTAAAAGGTCCTGTCTGTGTCTGGCCCTCTCACCAGAATCTTTAGTGTCAGTTACTTTGATAAATTCCAAGAGATTCATTTATATTAAGGAATTGATTCCTTTCAATTATAAAATGTAGGGGCTGGCTGTGGCAGCACACACCTTTAATTTCAGCACTTGAGAGGCCAAAGCTAG